TCCACCATACAGACTATAACATTGCTACTAATCGCTGGTTGAAACCTATTGAATAGGGTTTTGTAATAAAAAGAGTATTTAACTAGATTATGACAGCTGATCCACAGAACTTGTAACGGTTATTCTTGACCAAAGGGCTTGTAAAACATTATTTCATTATCATATCCTTTAACAGTTTTTAGTTTTTTTTTATCTGTTTCTTGGACATCACATTATACAGGCAAACATTAGTATTTATAAAAAACCAACAATAATCATGATTGGTCTTCTCTTTTGTGAATGACATTTTAATACAGTTTAGAGAGCTTTTGAGCAATCTTTACACTTAGATGACCCTAGTCAAATATAGTTGTTATCCTAGTCAGTGTATACATTTCATAAGGAATATTTTATAAGGAAATACATGAGAATATCCTAAATATGGATAGTTTATAGACTTTTCAAATTTTGCCACACTCTTAAGAGACTTTGATCCAATCTCTCAGAGGTATAGCTCAAATATTAAATTAATCTTAGAAGGAATCACATAACGAGGATATATCTGATAGCGAAAACCTCTAAAAGACTTTTAAAACTTTTGGACCAATATTTGGCTCATTTTAGGTTCCTCTAAGGTCTCACCCAACTAATAAATTTAAGTTATAAGGAAATATATAAGGAAATACCTAACACAGAAAAACCCTTTCGCTTTTTCAATTTTCTGTCCAGAAAGATCAGTCTTGGGCTCATCCGACATTCGTCTCAGAAGGTGGTGACCCGACCGATCCTCAGACCCAGAAGTTTCCGACGTTTGCGGCCCGGCAGACGAGACAACAGAGCTTCCGTCACCTCCGCATCCGTCACGTCCAACATCTCAGGTCCGTCCGTCTCTACGGCGTCCACAAAACCACTCTCGGGTCTTGAGAGTGGCTGGAGCATCTCAAACCATCGAGTCACTTTGGAAGTTGGACTCAACTGGAAGAACAAGTCCTTATTAGAGCAATATACCACAAAGATATACACTATTAGCTCCTGGTTTGTCAATAAAACTATTTGTAGTGGTTGGAAAAAAAAACTCTTTTAAGCCGCGTTTACACGAAGCGAGTTGCTGGGCAGGTAACTTGAAATACACTAGAGGTAAGTAACCTGCCCCCTCTACTGAACCGCAGCTTTATCCGCAAACAGAAAGACATTTTCTCAGCGCATTTTCATTTTCAATTGTGCGGTTTTAGCTAAACAGTGAAATCCTTTGAGTTTGAACATTAACTTTTGAATACTGAAGTATAGGTACCTATCTGTATGGACCAGCTTTAAAACATTTTTTATTAAAATAATCTGTTGAACCTCAGAATGAGCCACTCACAGAAAATGCTGCCAGTATCTTTCACCGTGGTACTGTAGTTGATTTGATTCAAAAGGTGCTACCGTCAAAAAAAGGTTGCTCTTTTGATTTTTCTTGGTTGAAAAATTTGTGTATTCTAGAAAACCAATTGACTTCCATGAGGAACTCTCAGTGGAAAATTCAACTGCATTTATTTTGATTCTCAATAGGGCTGGAATTTTATGGGTATGGAATGTCTGGTCCTATTTATAATCAAAGGGCATAGCTAGTTTATGAAATGAACATAGTTGAAATGAGTCACTGGTAAAGAGTGGTGATTAACGATTTCTGTTGTTTATATAATGACAATGACCTTTTAACCAATTAAAACTAAAATAGCAAATTATTACTGTAAGCGATTGTATCTGATATGTCAGATAATTTATCAAAGTATTAATGGCTGCAGCTGGTTCATTTTGATAGGATTTCTACTTTACAATACACAGTCAGTGGTGTCAATAAAAAATTATGTAAAGAGAGGCTGAGAGAAGATCTTCCCCTTTGAACATATTTAAAACAGTAAAATCTACAGAATGTAATATTTTGAATACACAAGACAACATACATACACTTATACACATACATACAGCTTCATATGTATTGCGTATTCTTTTGTACATAGTGTACAAAAGAAAGATTTAAGTCTGAATATAATCCTCAGACCATTAAGAAAACTTGTCATGCACTAGTTTTTACAGCTCTACATAGATATAGGAAACATTTTATGATTATTGTTGGGTTTTATTAAGCGAAATATTAATGCTATTAATTACTGGCCCTTTCATATACAATTTACTTTTACTGTTTGTTTAGCTATTTTTGATATGTCTAAACTTTCTTTTGTGCCTTTCAATTTAACTAAATAGTTTTTCATAGTTAACTATTTTAAGTTTGGTAGAGCGCGGGACTTCAGTCCAAAATCTCTCCCTGAGATCACGGGTTCAAATCTCGCCAAATCACCAATGGATTTCATCTATGTGATCATGCAGCAACCCCTAGGTCTACCCTGAAGTAATGTGAAAAAAGATCTTGAGCTAGAGCCTCAAGTCATAGGCCTAGGATAACTAAAAAAAATAATAATTTATAAATACTCAGTGGAAAGATGACAACTTCAGATTTAAATTAATCAGCCTAAAGAACAAATGATGATGAACAAATTTAATTTCCTACTGTTGTACTAAGGGTATTTTTATTAAGATTCTCTACCCTTGAAGTGAATATTATAAGGGCAGAGTAATTATTCATTTATTTATAAACTAACATGCCACTACTGAGTTACTCCTAAAAATACCCAGCAGTCAAACTGAAAACTGAATACAAACACGAAAGCGAGCAAAACAGAATTTGCAGTTGGATTAGGAGTGTTGCAATTATCGGTGCATTTGTCAACGTGTGCGTTCTGGCAAAACGCCGATTGCTCATTATCCAGTGCTCATTTGGCTGCTTTACTTTTCAGTTAGTTGATGTTGGGCAATTATTTTCTGTTTGGAGCAAGCACCATTAACTACGCAGTAGTTTTGATTGCGCATTTGATGTAGAGGCGCCAAAAGAAAAATACCCCACAATACCGAATCCGCAGATCAAGCGTGTTTCCATTTGATTGGATTTTACTCAAACATTTCCTTAAAATATGAATTTTAATGAGTACATAGAGGTTTACCGGTTTATTACAGAGTAGGTAATAAAGTGGGATGTTCATAGAAATGTAGCCAAACTTAGTATTAAATTTTAAAAATTGCCAGTTTTGATCAAAATTTATCAATAAACAAGTATACTACAACAGTTTATGGATATCTTTCTAAGTTAATTTATTTATAAAAATAACATGGGAATGTTAAATTTACATAAAGATTTTTTAAATTCCATAACCATTAGGAGTACAGAAACGCTTCAAATTATGAAATCATTGATTTTTTAAACTCTACAATATAGTTTCGAAAGGCCTATATTTTAGGGAACATAATTGGAAAATCCATTTTCCCCTTAAAGCCCCTCATGAAACCCTTTTTCCATAGTAAAAAAATGGCGGTTTGCGAACTGGTTTGAATAAATGTTGGTTTATTGTTTAGGTTTTTTTACTAAATTTAATCAAAATCCGACGATTTTTATTCAAGCTATAGTCCTAACTGAAACATATCGACATAAATTTAAACAGATTGTATTTTTGGCCTAGAGAACATCAGAACCAAAAAGGAAATCACTATCGGGTCTTGGTCTTACCACGAGAACTCTGTAATAGCTTCCTCCCTATAGGAAAATTGACTAAAAGTATACCAGTATAGATTTACTTTGTATGGTTCAGAGTGTTAAATTCATATGATAGCCAGAAAAAAAAAAAACGGTTGAACATCCTATATAAACAACTTGAAAGACAAAACATAATTTTTTTTAGTTTTTCACACACACCACAGAGAAGTAAGGTACAGAGGAAACACTTAATGACACTTAAGTGGTGTCTAGCACTAGTCACTTGTGTCTAGGACAAAGTCAACCCCCCCCCCCCTCACCTATGTACTAAAACACTCATAGTTGAGGAAGACCCTCTGCCCTGTGCGATAGAAATTTCCACACAGTGCTCACCGTTGGAGCTCTTCCTTGCTAAGTATATTTCCGGCATAACAGATCAGAAAGTGCACAGTTTATTCATAAGAGACATCTACCTTGCTTCTCTGTGCAAACACATAAACTAACTCAGTCAAATTCACTGTATTAACTGTAAAACGAAGGTCACGAATACACAAAAAGAATTCAAACACTGCTATCTGCATGTAATACAATGTTTCTATACAAAACACACACACTATAAACAAAATGCTCACCGTGCCCAAGAAGTGAAGCCACCGCTTATCTCACCCAAGAAACTTCTCAACCAAGCAAGGCCGTCTTCCACCTGTGAGTTAGTGAGAAGCTAGCGAGTGAGAAGCTGGTGAATTTGTGAGAAGCTACATTGCTGTGTTTAGTAAGCTCACATTTGGTTATGATCAAGACATTTAGAAATACTCTATGTTAGTAAAACCATAACTTTTTTTATATACATAAGCATTTTTCACCCTGTAAATAATTTTGCCAGTCATATTACCATTGACTAGATACCGGTACCTAGCATGTATACACCTTCTATATAACCAGTGTGTATATACAATTATATTAATAAGTTAAGAAAAAATTGGATGGATACATAATCATACATCAGAACATTTGACATTAAATAATGCTTTTCAAAAAATAGTTAGAGATTGGGTTAAGGGTTAAGACTTTCTTTTGAATTGCTGTAGAATACTGTACATGCATTTTTAAAGTTCAAGTTAAACTATCATAGCATTGGCCTAAAAATAATTTTAGTAAGTTTCTAAGGCGTTATACTGTATATTTATTTTTTATATCCGAAGACTGCAAATGCTTTCATTATTACATGCTTTAAAAGGCTATAGACTAATAACAGCTTGAATAAGATTGAATTGAAATCCTTAAACGTGATTAGTGTTTTATTTAAAACTTACCATGCGTAAACTTGAAAATTTAATATTGTAACAAAAATATGAGGTAGATTTGAAACACAGTAGGTACTTAACTTTTCAAATAGTCTTTAAAAATGTCTTAAAGCTATCTAATTCTGTTAACAAAATGGTATAAGCATGAGTGTTATGCCAGTTGCTAATATCAGAACTACTTGAGTGATGTATTAGGCGTTAAGGTATGTGATACAAAAATAGGTTGGATTCAAGAATTATTAGGATTGTTAAGAACAATGGTCTGAGTCGAGTTACCCAAAACCTGGCACCCGAGTAAATAGTAAAAATAGACAAAGCAAGCGCCACAGGACCGAAATAAAGAACACCTTGTTATTATAAAAATACATTTATTGCAGTCATGGAAATAAACTTATGTCTAAGGAAAATGTCCCCATGATTGAAAACAATGGTTGAACTTAAAAAAAAAAACTAATTGTTATAAGTAAATGGTAACTTAACTCAAATATTCTTTTAATTGTCACTAGGTGGAACTTGAGAATATTTATTTGACCTTAATAATCATTACCAAGCGAATAGAATTTAAAATACTTTTACTGTAGCTCGAGTATGGGATTATAATTATAATTATTGTTTTCTACACTATGCAGCTCAAATTTCAAGATTCATTTAAAGACACTGTAACTTCATTTACATATCAAATCTTCTACTTTGGCACAAATTGAATACTGAGTGATTTGATTAAGTCTTGAGGAATTACAATATTTTTAGATGATATATCATATCAAAATTTGCTGATGATTTCACAACTATATTACTTGCAACTTAGCCTACGTTGATATTTAAAAAATTTAAAAAATCCACTTCCAAAATTTAAATTGTGTACAGCAGTAAATGCCTTATATAAAATAGTTTTAACTTTGAATATACTCAGTAGGTGCACCAAGTCAAATTGGATATTTCCATTGTACAGTTTTAGCCAGTAAAAAAAATTATATATATTTAATTCAACTGAATTATGTTTTTTTTTTTTGAGTGGCTACAACTGATCCATGTGGATTAAATGTCTACTTCTACGTCAACTATTTGATCCGTTTAAAAATATATCGAGGACTCGTCTGAAGTGGTTTGGTCTAATTTACAAACATAATCTTTAAACTTTTCTTTTCTTAAAAGAAAACTAAATCTAAAAAGGCTATTACCATGTACTTTAGACACTTAGTACAGTGTTCCTTTATTTCAGTTGTAGTTAGCATAAAGAAAATTAAATAACAAGATAATTTTTAGACAAGTGAAGTTCAAAACATCAAGTATATTATCATTATCCATTTCATCTGAAGTTATAATCCAGATATGATATTGACACAAAACATGTGATTAATGTGGAAAGATTGCAACTAAATTCAGGAACATTATTATCTTACTCAATACATACTGTATAATCGGTAGATGTTTTTGTATATGGAGTCTTATTCAATTTAGTTATAGCTAAACAATTTTAAAATAATGTTTGGCAAGTCAAAATACTAAATTAAATTTTATCACTACAATTAAAAAATTTTTTATGGAGAACATTTTCCATCTCAGTTAGGTATAGCCTAGTGTCTATTCCATGTGAGAAAGACAAAACAAGTTATAGGTTACTTGTCAAAAGTAGGGAGGACAAGAAACATAATGAGCAGATTTTTAAATACAGTTACTTGGTACAGCTTAAGTATCAACTGCCTTAGGCCTTACCTAATCTCATACAAAACGTCTTCTACAAATCTAAAAACTAAGATCAGTTCAGCGGGTGAAGGATCACTTAGGGGATTGCTTAAAAATACTCAACAACAAAATTAATCCAAACTGTTGAAATTGAAACACCTTGACAAGAGGTCAAATTTATAATTTAAGTTGCATTGTTTACTAAAACATACTTTGGACATTGTCAAAATACAAAATCCAACTCGATAATAATACTGCTATTAAAATTCACATGACTGGAAGTGTGTTTGTAAAAAAAAACATTGGAAATACTTAAGTGGTATAGATAAATAGGTATAAAAGCAAATATCGGTAAAAAACACAAACAAAGAACTATCCATAATAGGAATTTTAGGGTGTAGGGAAGAACTTTAAAATTGTTTCAGTAAGAAAAGTTACCATCACGTAAACAAATGCTATGATATATGTCTCTGGCGTATTATTTTGTCACAAAAACTGGTAATCTTGTTACTGACTCTAGCCTGAGATTGATATTTCTATATTAAGTAACTTGGTAAACTGTCAACAAAGAAAATGTGCACTATATTACATTTATACAACTCCGTAACATTGGAGATAACAACACTAAATAAAATCCAAAGCAATTAAAACATTACCATTCAGGACGTTAAGTGAAGTCAGTGTAAATAAGTCCCGAAGATCACTGTTAATTCCTGTAAAAGTAATATTTTAAGAGCCTGATACAAAACTTCACCCGAGGGAAGCTACAAATTTGATATAGTCCGTCCTAAGCAGTAATGAACGATCACTTTGTAGTGTGTCGGGCCCAAGCAGTTCTTTGTACTTGTGACATTAGTTCACTTCGGTTAGGAATTTTCTCACTAGTCGACCTCGTAATGAAAGGTCCGTTTTGAAAACCTGGCCTTCGAAGTTCTTCCTCGTCAGAAACCCTGAGGGTGTTGAATGCAGCGGAGAGTTGATCACGTTTCCCGTCTTTCCGTTTTGCCCCCGACGGAGGCGGGTCAAGTCTCGGCACGTCAACATCGTCGTCTGCTCCGACCAAAACTCTCGTTCTTCCTTCCGTCTCAGTTGTCGTCAATCCTCCTTGAGACAACGGACGGATGAATTGTGAACCTTCCTCGCTCTCTTGCTTCTTGTGTGCAAGCACTGGCGAACTAGCGTAGGAAGAAGCTTGGGACACCCGGAAATTAAACTGCTGCGGTGAAGTTTGCTGCGTGTTCTGCTGATACATTCCTCCGACCGGGTAGTACTGGTTTCGATATTGAGGCGTGATGTTTTGCAACCGCTGCAAGAGTTGGTTCTGGAACTGTTGATCAGCCAGACCGAAGTTGAAGACGTTCGGCATCATACTCCTCTGTTGTCTGGGAGATCCGGGAACACCCTGCAGGTAGGATTGGTTGATGTTCCGGTTATCCAGAAGTCCCTGATTGGTCAGTTGGCGGATGGTCTCTATATCCGGGTAGTCCTGGAGGTAGACGGATCCGAGGGACGGAGTTTGAGGCTCGCACATCATGCCCATCTGAGACTGTATCACAAACTTAGCTTAGACATTCAGCTGTGAGACTGTTCAAGATTTATAAGGTCAAAATAACAGGAAAAAAAGTATGTAACAAGATATTGATAGAAGAAAAGGATTGATTGATTGAAGAAGTATTTGATTTTATTTCATAAAGGGTTATGATTTTTATTTATGTCATTTATTGGTGCTGTCTTTCAGTCAAGTGACCAGGGTATCGCCCAAGCAGAATATTAAGTTGTTAAAAAAGATCTTCTTCACCCCTGGGATTAAAAATAATTGTAAAAAATTACGCTATATATTGATAGTTGACACGTGATGTAGCTGGCACACAGCCATGACTAGACTCTTAAGGTTTGTTAAGGTTGTTAAAACTGTAGACGCTTAAAAAAGGGTCACTTGACAGTACAACTGATTTTCTATATAGAGAACATTTTTATTCCCAATAATTAATTACAAACACGTTTGTTATTAGACAGCATGGTTTTAATCCTATCTGATGAAAGTGGATATTTGTTTCAGCAACTACAAACTTATTTTGGCACTGATCAAATTCGTCCTCACAACAAATTAAATTTTCAACCAAAATCAAAGGTACATGATGATGATTTGATTTTGCAGCTTAGTACTTGTAAAAGTATATCTTGAACAGTCTCTTCAATAACTAGGATATTTCAATTCAACAAATTATGAATTTAGCTTATTTAAATTCTTCAAATCTTAAAATCATGCTGAAAGCACACTACTTGGGTTATTCAGAGAAGAAATCAATTAAAGAGTTGATATTGTCATTGATATTGTTATTGTTATTATTGTTGGAAGGGTTGGAATCCTCTCGCAAGACCTGTGAACAATACAGCTTTGCAATCAACTCAACAAACAAACAAAGCAAACAGCTAAAATTGGAATTCGGGTTTAGTCTGTCACATTCAAATTAACAGTAAAACATTCCCAGCATATTTAACTACAACATGAATATTGTTGTTTAGTTTGTAGTTGTTTTTTAAATAGTGTTGACTACAATGACACACATTTATTTTTATTCATCTTAACTTATATTCTTGTAGTTCTAAGGAAAATTATATTAAAATTTTAACAAAAAAGTAAAGTTAATAGTTTTTAAAGCAAATTTAAAAAAATCTAAATATTTAAGCGTAAACTCACCAGGATATCTAGTACATAACATTATTTTTAGAGAACTAAATTCTATACAAAATCAAGTATGGATTTATGATTAATCAGCAGTTTTGTATGGTATTGTACTAATTACAGTAGTTTGAAATTTGATTTTTTCAATATGTTCTTCTTTTTTTTAGAAAACAACAGTGTAAACAAATGGAAACACAATTAAAACAATCAATACAAAAAGGATGTTACTTACAAAACACAAAATTATATCAACACAATATTAAAGGTATAAAACTAACTAAAAGATATTGTACAACTTATGTAGCTCTATTTCAAATGTAGTTAGATAAAAGGCTTCAAAGTAATAACAACTCAGTTTTAATAAAACATTATTATTTAACAATGGATTAACTTGGATTTAACATGAAGCAGACTTTCATACACATGTTGAAGCGAGTTTTGAAACACATATTTTAGTTCCGTTAATCCATAAACATCTGTAAATCCTCATCTCTTTTATACACTTAGTTTTTGATCATGCCAAACTGAAAAGACAATTTTTTGTAAATTATTTTTTACCTCCCCATGAACTACCATAGTATGAACAAATGTGAAAGAGGAGAACAAATATTTTAACAATTTCACACTATGAGAAGCTCAATCAACAATGTTCTTTATACACAATTTTAAAAACCTGATTAATGTAAATGAGATGACTACTTCATAAACCAAAATAAAATCTAATACAGAACACAACTAAAACAAAACAGGAAACTTTGAGGACTAATATTTTATTAGGTCAGTAATGGAGATTTGATATATATTTTCAATTTTATTGATTTTATGACCCGTATACCAATCAGTGAATCCCAATGAATGGAGCCCAAAGCAAAGCATCATAAAGCAAAGTTAGCTGTTGTACACATGCACCATGCATTATGATAATTAACTAATATGTACAATATTTTGATACAGTTAACCAATTTTGTGCAAGAAACCTTTTTTTAAGTATTGAGATAGTAAATGTTGTAAAAAAAGTTACAGTTCCAAACAATTATTGGCTTGAAAACCAGACAGCAACGGACGTGTCATTTTAAAGCTTATTTTCTAGTGAAGAGACGAATGGTAACAAAAAACTTAATTTTCTTTTCTTTAGAGATAACTTTCAAAAGACACAGTGATGGTGACAAACTTTCTTTATGGCCTTAAATATGAATGTAATTTAACAGCTGATCCTTAAGTTAAATGTTTAACCGCAGTCAGCTGTAAAGACATAAGAGTTTATGAAAACTGATAATAGGAAACGTTTTTGATGATAATAATCTGATAGAGGAAGATAATCCCTTTTTATTGTGTAGATCTAAAGTCAACGGATTTAATTTATTTTATAATAGTAGTTTTATTCACCTTGTCTTAAGCAAATATAATCTTTGGAAAGTATATAAGTATCCATTTATTCATTACACATTGAAAATAAGTTTTCAACCCTATTATGATGCACAATTTCCGCCCAGGACCGCTCGTCTATCCATAATATTATAAAATATGTCTGAACGTATCTGTTTGAGCCAGGTAAATAAAATAAATCACTGTACCGGCTTGGCTTTTCACATAAGTTTATCAACAACTCAAACAGAATATAGGGCAAGCATATTCATGTGAATAAAAAAAAACTTGCGTAGTTTGTATTTGTTTCTATCTACATTGACTTTGTTTTTGTATCAACAAAGTTGATCAGTAGTAAGTTAGTTGGTCTTTTTTACCACAGCTGACTTGATGTACCCTGTAGAATTTTATAAAAGTAAGTGGCACAATTGAGTTTTTTTACTGTAAACAATGCTATATAATATAACTGTTAAGTCTTATATGACCACATTACTGTCTTTTGTTTCCACAACTCATTGCATATTACAAGAGTGATCAAAAGGAACAGACTATACACTGCGAAGATTGAATTTGTGTTTAGTTCCATAACTAGCCACTGGAGGCAGCATTATCTCACAATCTGCTTTACCTTGTTTTGAAGTAACTAGATAACCCGTTGCTAGAAACGCAGCTCGTAATAAAAGAATTTTATTTTTTATATTGTATATTGTTTTGAATTATGACTTGTTATGAAAATGATTTTGTAAGACATTTTCTAGGCAATTAACTCATCTTTTTAAATGTTTTGTGATTTGTTCTATCATGGTTTGTTTGGGTCTATCACTAAGATAGAATAGTTTAAACGATTTTGTAAAAGGATTGCTGGAGATGTTTAATCCAATTTCTAAATTATTAACCACTATGCAGGGTATTCTGAACTATTCGATAAAGTTGAAATTTAACGCTAATCTTGAAAAAAATACAAGATTGAATAAGTTACCTACTTTAAACTACGAGTTTACAAACTAAATCACTTTTCTAACATTGACAAAGAAGTTGTTGCCATAATCAAGAAAAGTATAAAAATCTCAATTCAAGGATTACTTTCATGTGGAAACATCACAAAACTAAATTAAATACAACCTAATTTTGTGCCAACATCAAGGAATTCCATAAAGACATTATAAGTGTTTACATTAGGTGATGTAAACTATATTTTAAAGATCAAGCCTAATAAGTAAACACTCAATAATTTATAGTTACTACATTAAAAAAAGGTTTCTTTCAAACTACCCCAAGTGGAATGGTAATAGCACATACCTGGGGAACAGAAGTAACATGTTGATGTTGATTTTGTTGTTGTTGTTGCTGTTGTTGATGTTGATGCTGTTGAAGCCTCTCAGTCTCTTGCAGGTGAGCTACCAAAGCACTGATGTGGTCTAACAACTCCTTGTTGTGGACCAGAAGTTGATGGGTTCGAGCCTGTACAGTGAACAATATTTATTTAATTAAGTTTCTTAAATACCGGAAAGCAATTCTATTTTCTTGAGGATAAAAGTTTGATGAACCTAGGTTTGTTTAAGCAGGAATCAAATCGTAGATCAAATCTGGATTTGATTTACAATAATTAAATTATTGTGATGATAGCATCCATTGTGGCACCCTGCAAGTGGTGTATTCATAAATACATGCATGAAAAGGATTAGGCTATTAGTCATCTAATTATAAAGATAGGTAAACAACATTTTACCTAAGATTGAGATTGACCCAATATCAAGCAAATGTTTTAATTTAACATATGAAACATTTACTGGTACTTCCAAGTAAGTAACTCTGCTGAATATGTGGCTTTAACATACACAAAAACACACCATGAGTGTTTAACTGAACAAAAAACACAGTAATTGTGTTCTCTGAAAATCCCTTGTGTCAACAATTTCATCTTGAAAATCTGAGAACCTCAGGCGAGAAACTAGTGATATGGTCAACGAAATATATCTCTTTGTACATTTCATTTCACCAACTAAAAAAAGATGAGTTTGTTATTTACTTTGTTGAACTATTTATATGTTACAACTAATTTTCTCAGTAAGATTTCATCATTTCAAAAATCACATCTGGCTGAAAGTTTTCAAAGAGAGATATGTTCACTTTCTAAGTTTGTTATTCACAGGCTACATCCAGCCAGTGAATATTTTAAAGCAAGTACTGGGTAGAGTTGTAAAGAGTGTTAATGTTCTGTTGTTAGATTATGGCACAGTAAACAGCGATTTATGAGTCTGGACACTTAGGTGTAAATGGAACGACTTTGGGCTATATTCGACTCATTGTTTATAAATAAAGCAAAGTTTAATGAACTGTTATGTGGACTTCCATTGGTAGCTATGTGTACGTTTGGACAGATTAAGTGAATGCATGTGCTAAAACAACTGCCATAATCAGAGTGCTTTGATGAATAGGCGTTTAAACTATACGACTCTCTTCATTCAGATAAAATTATATAAAATAACTAGCTGACCCGGCGAACTTCGTATCGCCTAAGTTATAGGTTTCCCCTAAGACAGACCGATGGAAAGAAAGTACCGTTACGTTTAATTTTCAAGATGATCTCGTTCGCATCGCTCAATCACGTCCTGGTTGAAGTTCGTTCGCTACGCTCACTCACCTTTGGGTTGTAGCTCGTTCGCTACGCTCACTCACCTTTAGGTTAGAGCTCGTTCGCTGCGCTCACTTGCCTTCAGGTTAGCTCGTTCGCTACGCTAACTCGCCTCCAGGATAAAGTTCGTTCGCTACGCTCACTCACCTTTGGGTTGGAGCTCGTTCGCTACGCTCACTCACCTTTAGGTTGGAGCTCGTTCGCTGCGCTCACTTGCCTTCAGGTTAGCTCGTTCGCTACACTAACTCGCCTCCAGGTTGAAGTTCGTTCGCTACGCTCACTCACCTTTTGGTTGCAAATTAGCTGTTGTCATAAATGTAAAAGAAATAATAGTGCTGCACCCTGTTGGTAATCCTTGTAACTTTAATGCTATTGAACATCATAGAACAGAACCAACTTGTTTAATTGAAACAGCTGTTAAGATTCATTAATTCCATTTCTCATAAGGTTAACATGGGAAACTCCAGAGCCACTGGGGCGGAGCCCTTTTAAGAATTTCGAAACGGGAAATAGTTTACGTCCGATTCGCATACCTACAGAATTTACACACCAAATTTCATAACGATCGGTGAAGTCGTTCCGGAGGAGTTTGCAGACAAACACTGTGACACGAGAATTTTATATATTAGATAATACAAAACACTTTTCCCAGGTGTTTTTAACAAAACCCAAGTTTTAAGTTTTGTGAGAGACTGTTTAAAACTGTTTACCAAGCTTATATGTTGGTATCCCTGTTTTCTTAACATTATAACATTTTGTTTTTGATGTCATAGCCAGTTCCATGATAAATTTCCATCATGATATACTATGGAAAATCTCCAACTACTTAAGTGAATAAACAAACAAAATTTGTCATCACTCCGTAACGAAAGTAACTATTTTTGATAATGGCTGACATCAATGAAAGTAGTAGTTTTCCAAGCTCTAATTTAGGGCGAGGGAAAATCAATCAGCTGATTTTCCCTCGCTCTAAATTTTCTTTCCCTCGCTCTCAATTAGTTCTCCATTTATTCTCTACGCGCGCTAGTGTTTTGTTACGGTTTAATTTAATGATTTGAATCAGCTGTATAGGATGTATGTATTGTTAAAAGTTGTTTTATTCTTTTATTTTCATGTTTAAACCAAGTTTATTGAGAAATATACGTAGGTTTCCTTTTATAAGATTTATTTATTTTAATTTGATGTTTAATCAAATTAGTTGAGAAATAAAATAGTTGCAATATTACTGAGGTCTGCTAATCTGTGTTTGTGTATTTTTGCGTCGTGATGAAAAGTATCGTTCATAACTCGTACCGAAAATTATTATCCGGCACTTGCTCCATTATTCCAGTCCTCGACTTCGCCTCGTACGTGGAATTGGGGTTCCATGTGTTCGACTACGCCTCACACAAAAACTTGAGCGCGCGACGGAAAATGCCACTTTCGGTCCTAGTAATGAAATATACTATTCCTATAAGGAAAAATATAGTGAATCCATTATCACGATTCAATTCTGCTCTGCTAAATTTGGAAGTGAAGGGACAAATTGAATACAGTTTATGACAAGCTTTGAAGCAATATCGCTTATCAAAGTAACCACTAGGAGCTTCGTTGCCAACTGTGATCGACAAAGTTAACTGACGACTAAATGAACTTGTTGCCAACTGACTTCAGACACTCAGCCTAAGGCACTTAACTTCGACTTAGTTCTCTTGTTTATTGTTCCTCAACAACAAATCCAATTAAGTTTAGCTTAACCAAAGATGAATGTAATGGATTCACTTATTGTATTCTTAGTGTTATAAGAATCTTGTCCCAATAATATTTTAAAAAGCTCGAATAAAATACTCTCCCTTGTAGGTCAGGTTGAGGTTGAATGAGTGACAAAACAAATTTGTTAAATGATGTAGTGAAATTTCAACAGCAAATTTTTCAGTAACTTTTAGGTAGAAGAAAACACTCTTATGTGTAGTGTTGATCTATGTATAAAAAAATTTGTTTAAAGGTTTCTTTCTTTTAAGACAAGGACAACCAAATTCTTATCAACAAAATAATTAATATGTTGACTGGGTCATATACCTAGAGTCTTCATTATTGGATTTAACTATCCGACCTTCCGTGTAATCTGATGCTCCATGCAGTTGATCAGGTACTATAAAATTGTGTTATGTACACTGTAGTAGGTATATAAAAAACCCTCTTTGTCGCATTTGTTTGTACTATAAGTATACATACAATAATGCTATACAGTCATACAGTATGTATTTTATGCATTCAAATTGAGCAAGTATGCATACCAGAAATTTGTCAAGTTGTTGTGCATATCTGAGCCACCTTTGGTTAAGTGAAAGAGTATATAGATAAATCTTCCATTTTACAGTTACTTTGTTGGTTAATTTTTATATTATTTGTGATTAGGGCATAAATGCTAAAAAGGTTTTAGTAGAAGACTACCACAAAGTAATTTAAAACCTTGAATAGGGAACGTAGAGGCTTTATTCGTTTGAGGATTTTTAACATGTTTACAATGGTTTAGTTATTTCCTGAGTACTTACTTTCCAAGTCCGGAAATCAGACTTCGCTTTTATTTCCTGAGTAATTCGACCTTTCTTTTGTCCTTATTTAGTTTAGATAGTTGAGACTCTACAGTTTAGCATAAAGTTAGGAACTATTCTTCTTATTGCCTTAATTTAATCACAGAGAAGCAAGGTACAGAGGAAACAGTCATTGGTACACTTTGATGGTGTTTAGCACTTTTTGTTCACAATATTTAGGCGGTTTGCGGGGAAGTTCTCCCACCACTTTTTTCTGCTTAATGTATGTTGCAGCTAATTGACGTTTTGACAAATCTCAGCTGTTGAACTTACTATGTTTTAACGATATGATCAAGATGTAGATATAGATTTCTTCCCCTAAAGTGCTAGGATCTAGGATCAAAGTCCAACATTGCCCCCCTCATCCTCATGTACTACAATGATCACAGTGGAGGAAGACCCTGTGTGTTAGGCATTTCTACACAGTGCTCGTTGTTCAGACTCTTCCTTATTCGTCAGTATATTTCCGGCACAATATTGCACAGTCGTCCCGTAAGCGTATTTCCTCTATACCTCACTTCTATGTGTTATGTCATGTAAAATTTATATAAAAGCTACACCAGTCACACCTGAGCCTCCAGTCTAGCAGCAGTCTCAGCAGCCAGCTGATCTCTCAGCAGATGAACCTGGGCCACAGCAGCTTGCGTCTGCTGATTCTGCTGCTCCAGCTGTTCCCTCAGCAGCTGCAGTTCGTGATGAGCGCTGAGTGGCGTACCAGCCGAGGGCAGACTCGACTCTGGCGCTGACTTGAGCGGTTCACTCAATGGCGAACTGTACGTCTCTCCTCCACTCTGGAAGTGAGGATAATTAGGTGAAAATTTAATATTTTTGTAACATTTTTTAAAACTTAAGACCAGCATCAAAGAATTTACAAAGAGCCCATTTGATTGTAAAGTTACCTACACTCAGGATTGCCACTTTTTTCATCGTTGTTCAGATGCTCGTTCAATTCTGATTGTCCAATAACCCGTTCTGATTCTGCCAGAACAGTCCCTTGTATCCATGTTTATGCCTATGTTAATGTAGGGGGAAGGGGTTGTATGTCCATATTTTTCCCTAACGAAAGGTGGCAACCCTCCTTACACTATCAACAATTGAAAGAGTTATCACATCATTTAAAAGAATATATGGAAATGTTATAACCTACCAAATATAATAAGTTATCATGATCTTAAACGTCAAGTGTATTGGCGAAAACAATTATTAAACGGAACAATTAGAAAAACCCCCATGGTTTTTTAATTTTAGTTTTTTCCAAACACTAGCTCTAGCCCGGGATTACTTCTAATTACTTCAGACTAGACCTAGGGGTTCAGTATTATCAATTAGATAAAATACAATGATGATTTAGCAGAATTTGAACCTGAGACCTCAGGGACCCAAAGTCCTGTGCTCTACCACTAGACCAGTTTTAGACAATCTATAGTAATTGTAATATTTTTGGAGTTAGAAATTAACAATGTTTTATACTTATATTAAAAACTTAAGTGTGCATGTGATTGACTCTTAAAACTGCTAAAAGATGGTTACCAGTGGGGATCGCCGTGTCGGGTGATTGTTGGGCGGGGGCGGAATGATGTCGAGTCTGAGAGGACGCTGGACGGGGACTGTGGCGGGGGCGGGTGTCACATCAGACTGGGCGTCCAGGGTCGACAAGGAGTCGTTACCTCCTATAGTCTCAGGTTCTGAGGGTGCATCTGCAAGAGAAGTAACTTTTAGGTATTTGTTTTTTTTATTTGTAACTTATCAAAAATTACCACAGAGAAGTAAGGTGCAGAGGAAACAGTTAGTGGTGTCTAGCACTAGTTGCTGGTGTCTAGGGCAAAGTCCAACACCCGCATGTACTACAATACATAGGGTGGAGGAAAACTCTGTACCCTTTGCGATAAGAATTTCCGTACAGTGCTCGCCACTAGAGCTTTTCCTTGCTCAGCACAAAGTATATTTCCACAACATACTAGAGCTGTAAGCACAAGGTTGTCACATAAGCAAGTTTTCTACGTAGCTTAGTTCTCTGTACAGTGACACAGTTTTTTGCTGTTCAACAGAGTCCCCATTAATTATTATCCTAAGCCCCCTTATAGTTAGTGAATCCTCCTTTTACAGCACTCCATTCTCCCTTCAATAAAATTGTAATCTTAAAAAAATGTTACCTTATTTTTACTCTTAAGTCAATTTAGCTACTACTAGAGTTTGTAATTAGGATCGAATTGTGAGACAATCTTTGAAATCAATAATTAATAATTTAATGCATAGACTACAACAAGAAATAATTATTACTAATAAAGTCATACAAACTCTTTTACAACCCAATCTAACACAGAGAAATGTACAAACAGACCCGGCTGACAAAACAATAAATCCAACTGGCAATAAACCCAGCGAAACTGACAGAAGTTGTAAGAAGAAACGGGAACAGAAATAATCTGAGTATTTACAGACCCATTGTTGTCATAATCGGAGTTTGAAAAAGCAAACAAATTCACGGTGTCGGTTCCAATGTACAGATCAAAGGCGGGCAGGTGTTTTTGAGGGGGTTGGAGGGGAGAGGGGAATCAGCAAACGTCATAACTCATGACGTCACTTGTCATAAGAGAGCGTTGGCAGCGCTCCAGGCGGCGGCCAGGCGGACTAAGAGGCCAGCACTATCTGTAGTAGCTGTAGTAAACAGGTGTTTAGCGGAAAGACAAGAGTGGCGTGTGGTTTGATGGCCGCATTAAATTCGTAAATAAACTCTGGACAGAATATTTTTGATTCTTTACGCTTATGGGACTGGCAAATTTGACACCCGTTCTAGGAATAATAGCTACTCAAGAGCAAATCAAAACTAGGTGATAATGAGTTAGTGCAAAAAGTAACCAGACGTAAAATGTAAGCACAGTCAATGCAAACATTTCAAGTATTAATACTGATTTTTTTCTTACTACCGCTATACCCTATATGGAGAAAGTATTGTTTTCATAAAAAAATTTCGAGTTTGAGAATTGTTTGGAAATACAGTATACATTTTTGTCCCCATTAGTTTTTAATGGTGATTTTCCTATAAAAACCCACAAAATAAAATCCGATTTTCACAAAAACGGCTCGAATGGTTTTGATTGATTTAGTACGTTATGGTCCGTATAACCATAGATAAAACATACGTTGTCTATGGTATATCTACAAAATGGTACAGCCCCCAATTTTGTAAAAATTACGCAAAAGTTATAGCACCTTTGTGATATACCCCATAAAATATCATAGTTACTCCCACCGATTGCCCATAATATGGGTTGTTGACAACTAATGGGAGAAAGTACGTATCAGATTGCTGATACAGCTAATTATTTTTATTTTCATGAGGACTAATCCATATATACTCCCAAAAGCTTCTCATCTAGGGGTTTAGCCCCGAAACTCTTAGGGACATGTTTTAAGCTGTATTTTGGCTGGGTCTAGGAACAAACTCTGTGTGAAATTTCAGCCACGTTAATTCAATAATTTATGTAAACCCGGACAAAAAATCCAACGACCACAACACCTTTTTTATGATCACTGTTACTGTATGTTTAATTATATTTTCCCGGCAAAACTGTGTACTCACTTTCTTGTTTTTCGCTAATATAGTCTGCAAATATAGTTGCTAGATTATGAATCTTACTTTTAAAATCCCAGAAAACCCCTATAGAAATTACTTTGTATAATTAATTTAGTGGTAATATGTTATACTTTTTTTCAATTGCTCAACTAACTTAAGTAACGAGAGTATTCGTACACAATCTCTACAGTCTTAGCGATTACCACTTAAAAAAATAATTCTTGCCACTGATAAACAAATTCTTTAAAAGAACCATCTAGAACAAACAAATGGATATATAAAACTAACATACAAATATTTAACTACAACCCTGTAAAGTAATTCAGACACACAACACAAGTGTTTGGTCCATTTCCAGCGAGCGAGTAATAAAGTAGTTCAACCAGAGTTGCAACAATGTAACAAGCTGGCCAATGAGAAGAGCGTAAAGCTGTCACGGACCAATCAAACGCGTCGGTTGGTTTCATTGAACAACTTGATTGCAACGACGTTTAGTTCCGATTGTAGAACGCTGATTGAGTTTTGACAACTTGCAAGCTTAGTTGTAATACGTTGCTGTTTATGTCTTCTTGTTTGTTGCCGTTTTGAAAATGACTTGGTTTGATGGGTTTTTACGCATGTTGTTTCTACATTTTCAATTCTATACACAGAGTAGAAGTATCACACAACTTGATATGTTTCGCTTCTACACTAAATCCCAAATATTGGTTGATTTAAAGAGGATTTGTGTTTATGATTTTTTTTAACCAATCCTATAGAACCACACGCTAGATATAGATTATAGTAGTTATCTATTATTATAACTACTATAATAGATTAAGTAATATAATACTACAATAACACCTAACGTAGAAAACGTCCTCTGAAACTACAGTCTTTATCCTACTTGAAAAGACTACTATTGATCTAACCCCCTATGACAACATAAAAATGCGATGTAATGATATATAAAGTTAGTATTTCTAATTTGTATGACTTTTGTTAGTTGAAATACTTATTTTCACCGTGAGTGTAACCTATAGGGTAATATGGTATAACATTACACATCTTCAGTCTATGGCTTGTTTCACTATAAACAAATATACGTATTCTCTGGGTTATTAAAGTCATGAATACTACCACAGCCTTCTCCAATGCCATGGCAAGATAAAAGTGGCAACGCCGCAGCCCCGGCCTACTGAAATCGCCGTTGCTCTAATTCATAGTGGAGTTTCTGCACTATGTTTATACGCAAGTTATTACCATGGCGATAGATCGGCCGGTGCGACGTTGCCAAACCAACGCTACAGCCTTCTATTTAATAATACGCCTTATCTTAAAAGTTAATCTAGATGAGCGGCTAGCCTAGTTTTTAAAACACACGGCCTCTATTCATGGGAGTTGGTGCGCTGGTAAACATTTCACATAACACTATAACTTATACCAAATAGATGAAACCTGACCACAGTTCAGAGTATATCAAAACTATACTATACTATAGTCCATTTGTGAAGGAAGCAAAATATCATCTTTCACTAAACGCGTCAAAATATTTCTATTTCTTTCCCTCTACGAAATAGATCCATACGAAAAATAGTGCTGCTCATTAAAAATTCCAATAATAATGATAAAAAAAATTAGATATTAAAATCCAAACAATTATCTCATTTTGAAGTTATAATTCTGTTCGATTAAAAGACAATGAAACAATCGGGCTCTCTCTGCCAGAGTTGGTGGATCTGCCAAAGGAAAACGAATTTGTGTGATTTCATAGCTATTTGCGGCCCAGACGTCTTGTCAGAGCAGGGTGGACACCTCTCGGACCACCTGGTATTAATTCGAATGGAAATAGTGAACATGGCGAAATATCTAATTGTGGCCAGCTATAAGGGGCCGGCCTGTTGCAACAACCCCAAAACCGAACTAGACTGCTCTGCCAACACTTTTACCTGGGCTATCTTTAGTGAATTGTGCAACGGTGATTGGAAAATTATGAACAGAACAAAGTGTATAGTAAGTATGAAAGTATTAAGTATGATACTGGGGCATTAACGTGGAGATTGGCGTTGATATGAATATTTACAGTTAACCTTGAATTATTATGATCTATAGCAAGTTAAAAAAATTGAGGTGGTATAAGGAAGGTTTCCTGGGTTTTATCACTTTTAGCTTAATGTATATTGTTTTAAAGTTAAGAAAAGGTGGAGGGGATGGAATCGCTTCCCCTTAAACCGACTTAATCTCGGGAACGGAGTATACGAGATACTAACCATGCAAGTATTAGAATTAAGATATTTAAAATAATACGTTCAATTCTTAGCATCTATAGGCCTAAGTATAAAAGAGGATGTTTGTATATATATTAATATATATGTTTGGCAGTGATAAACTCAGACACCGCAGAACCGATTGCCACGAAACTATGTACATACGTGTAGAATTTCATGGAATAGGTTTATACATCATCAATTTCGTGATCCGTCCAATCGGCTCCGCCCCAGTGGCTCTGAAGTTTCCCATGAGACTTCCTTATGAGAAATGGAATCAGTGAATCTTAACAGCTGTTTCAATTAAACAAGTTGGTTCTGTTCTATGATGTTCAATAGCATTAAAGTTACAAGGATTACCAACAGGGTGCAGCACTATTATTTATTTTACATTTATGACAACAGCTAATTTGCAACCAAAAGGTGAGTGAGCATAGCGAACGAACTTCAACCTGGAGGCGAGTTAGCGTAGTGAACGAGCTAACCTGAAGGCAAGTGAGCTGACCTAAAGGTGGGTGAGCGTAGCGAACGAGCTCCAACATAAAAGGTGAGTGAGCGTAGCGAACGAACTTCAACCAGGACGTGATTGAGCCGAATAGAAAGACCAAAAATATTGTCTACCCACTAGCATTAATATAAGAGCAATAATAAAGAATCGGTTATCCTTTGTACTATATGTGTTTCATTAGTTGTCGTACGTATTTTAATTTAGTTATAAGCACTTCATATACAATAAGACAATTAAACGTTACGGTACTTAAATTATAAATAGTCAAAGGCAAGACAACGTCTGCCGGGTTCAGCTAGTATCCATAAAAACTTGTGCTCCCTGCCTATTTCCACAGGGTTGCGTTTCTTCCAAAGCAAAAGATTG